AACTTCCTGATATTAGGTTTAGTTAGTCGATTCATTCGAGAGGTGGTTGGGTATAAATTAGTGATTTGAGTTCTAGAACGGTTCGTTAATAATCCTAATTAATTTGCTAGATCTACTATTTATTTATTTCTTGAGAAATCCCTAAGCCTGACGTTTTCCTCATCTACTATATGCTTTAAAATACGCATCACATTATATGATTCATATATGAATATATTATATTATTTTTTGTCAGCAACATGCATTATGTAATTTTGCATTCAAATGGTAATGAAAAGGTAACTATTAACATAAACCATTTGGTTACATAGTTTGGTCTTAGTAACATATTTTTATATCATAATATAGTTATCAACAATATTTTTGGTAGGATTTTTGATATCATAACTGTTATGTTCTATTATATTTATTCGATCAAATTAAACAAACATATGTGTGAACTACATAATTTTTTTTAATGAAATATAATCATTTAAGTGAATATTTGTTAAAATAAAGTTACACATATATAAAAAAATTATGGATCAAAGATTCATTTACGCATATATTTTGCTGATTGAACATCATGTAAACTCTTAGAAAAGTAAAAGTATCACAAACCATATAATAATCAAAATATAATTTAAGTATTCCGGTTAAACATCAAAAAAAAAAATGCTTTATATCGATGAAGAAAGTTCATATATTAAGCATTTTATATTAAAAATCGTAAAGATAATCAAATAAAAAGTACTATATTCAAATGATATTGAATAATTTATATATCTCGCATTCATAAATAAATAAAGATTCAAAGTTGATTATAATTATTATGTATATTTTCACAATGAAGATGAAGAAAATAATGTAGATATGTTGAATTCGAGACAATATGATACTAGTGCATAACTAGATAAAATATAAATATATATATATATATATATATAATCATTTAAGACGAGTTGATGCAACTATAATAAAAGTGTAATATATGAAGTACATACAATTATTATGATATTTATAGTTGTAAAGTACAAATAACTAATCCACATGTGCAAATGATGACATAAACATGAACAATACCATAACCATATACACATTTCAATCATTGATATATCATTAGGTAAATTATGAATAAAATGTGCAACATATATGTTTTATGGGATAAATATATTTCTATCAGATAGAGCACACAACACATAAATAGATTAATCAACTTATATATACTAATCTCACAAGTGTTATATGTCATCAACATAATTTTTCTCAATTGTTTTTTGTTACATATAATTCTTATTTACATTTTCAATTTCATTTAATTCTAAATATTAGTTATATCTATGATTCTAACATTAGTTATCAAACAATCTTAAATATTTATAAACTTATCAAACACAATTATAGAACGAAGTTAGTGGTCATTTTTAATAACACTTTTTAAATTTTTAATTTTATTCAAGTCAGTAGTTTTAATAATAATTTATTTTAAATCATTATATCTTCATCGCTCAAATGGCTACATTGCTCACACACATGGAAAATTTTAAATTAAAAAAAAATTAATGTGTGAAACTTACAAGCATTATAGATCATTATTGGAATCCATTGTAAGTGCAAGAGAGAATATAATGTTGATGAATGAGTGAGACAATTATTTTCTAAAGTTAACGATAATGATGAACGAAAGAAAAAAAAAATAGAGGATGTTCAAAAAACAATAATGGATGAATTAAACTTGTTAGAAAGTTGAATAGTTTTTCAACAAGTATGTCTATATATATATATACTTAACTTATAGATTAAATATATATTGTTTAAAAATTAAATTAAATTAAATTAAATAATAAAGAAACAAAAACCAGTAGTTACGTCAAATTTTACCATGATATCCGATATTGAAAAAATATTTTCATGTGATGGATGCAATAATGATATATTTTTTTGTCAACAACATGCATTATGTTATTTTGCATCCGAGCGGTAAAAAAACATATGCATTAATACAATCCATTTGGCTACATGTTTTGGTTCAAATAACTTTTTTATATTTGCATATTTACACCGTTTTTGAAAAAGAAGAGTATAAATTTTTACACATAAGTAAACAACTATCCACCACATCGAACATCATACACAGATAAATTATTTTTTTAGTAGAATTATCCAAATAATAATCTACACATAAAAACGCATGTATCAAAATGGTTGAAAATTTGTATCAATTTGTATTGTACATTGTACATGTTCTTGAAAATTTGGTTTTAATTTGATATGATTTAGCTGTATATCTTTCACGTTCAAAGCAATATAAATAGATAAGCAAAATAAATTTATAACAAAATTTATTTCTTCTGAAAACGTAAGTATGCAATTCTTTTACTTTTCTTTTTTTAAAATTTTTGTACCAACTTGTATGTATGCATCTTTATCTGATTTTATTTTATTTTTGTTTTATTAAGTTGATTGGTGGGACACATACATCATATATATACAAAAAAAGTAAGTGTCTTGAACCATCTGTAGTCTTAACACTATGCTTATACACTCCTATAACTAAATCTTACTATTATTTCAATGAAACATGTTTGTTTACGCTATAAAACCTTATACATTTTTAATTTAGTATGATAATATAATAGTTTTTTCTATCATAAGTAACACATTCCTTTTTATTATTCTCGTTGTTCCTTTTACATTTTTGTTATTTTATTTGTATTTTCATGATTAGTAATTTTCATTATTATCATATCAAATTTATTTAGAGTTCATTTAAATTTAATTACGTATTATTTTTGTTATTGAAATTTAAATGTCTGTTATATGTTTGTTTTTCTATCATTGTTCTTTAATTTTTTTTATGTCTTATATATATTTATTGAAGATAAGTATCAATATGAATTTAACTCAATAGCCAAAGATAACGCACAATTACTGTTATTTGAATATATATATATATATATATATACATATATCGTACAAAATACATATTTATCTATATATGAATATTACACGTGAAACTAACTACTTTTAAGTAATCTATTAATTAGTTTTCATCAATAAATAATAACACATAATGACGAATATATGCTAATATTTATTCTTTTAGTTAGTTTATAATAAACTCAATTAGGTTCTACCATATCAAAATCATGTTGACAAAAAGTAAATATAAAAAAGGACTAAGCTAATTATATATTTGAAAAAAAATCATATAAAGTTTACATTTCTAGTTGTAATTCTATACTCTTTAAACAAAGAAAACAAAAGCGTAAAACTTGTGAGAAAAATAAAAAAACTGGGACTAAGAACATTTCCAAAAAAAATTATTTTTGAGGTCGAAAGGTGTTGTTCTTCGGAAAAAAGCTTAAATTTAAATTCAAAACTATTTGTATTTTGTATTACAGTTTTCACTATTGATTATAACTAATTAAGATAATAATTTTTTTACAAAACTATAAAACATATACACAATATTAATTAATAAACGTAGCATTATAATATAAAATAAAATTACAAAACTAAATAATTAATTACAAATAAATTACCGATTTATTTTTTAAATGTGTAATTCATTAAACGGATACTCAAAAAATATATGTACAAAGCATTAAAGCCAAAGTAAAAGCAAAACACATGTGTCTTTAGAGAGCAAGAAACCATTTGAAAACAGGACAATAACTAAATTACCAAATTATTTTCATATTACTTCGATATATGATCAACTAAGGCATTTCAAAGTGATAGATGAGTCTTTTTATATTAATTTTTTTGATCTATTCATTTTAAAGTTTTTAATTAATTTTATATATAAAAAGTATATTTATATTTACGAGATATATAATTAGTCGGATAAATATGATGGAAAACAAATTACAAAAGTAATTTATGAGACACATATAATTGTAAGAACTAAAATCATTTGGAGACTTTTGAGTTGTATATATTTTTTCTTCAAATTTTCTCGTTAATAACTATATATATTTTTTCCAATGCACCCTTAATCTTCTTATTAATTTCTTGAGACAATACTTGCATTGATTTCATCTTTTTTTTTTAATATCAGCATATATCTTTCAAATCATTAAAAAAAAATTATTGATATCTCATAAAATTTACAAAAAAAACAAGTTATTGATATGGATAAAAAAATCTCATTTAAAGCGACAAAATGTGTAGCCAAAATAAAGAGAATTTTGAGGATAGAAACAAGGTAGCACACGGTGTGATTAACAGACAAATGAGATTCATGAATTTACCTATGTAGATGAATGTAAAATAAATATCATATTTACCAAAAGAAGGAAAGAAACAATGAAGAATGTATTAAGCACACGGTGTGATTATCATACAAAAGAAGTTTATAATATGTATGTAATCAATTTCTTTTGAAGTTTTACCAATTAACATATCAATTATATACACAATTTATAATTTTAATTCATATTTCAGTGATTTTTTCACAAATATTGTTAATAATCAAGTATTTTATGCCATCATCTTATGTTTAATAATGATCATTTACAAATCCACCGTTTATATATTACACCATTACATGACAATAACTTTATAAGAAAACATTGCCACATCATTGAAATAAAGAAAATTCATGGTTTCCATTACATTTTGTAGCCTTCTAAATTCTTTTTAGATACTTTTTTAGTAAACCACTAAATTATGAAAAAGGTGAATTTTGTTGTTAAATGTTAGGAAATTTATCAAAATATATAACAAACAAAAATATATGCAAAACTTAATTGACAATAATGTGAAATTTAGGGGGATCCCACGTGTTTGGGCTTAGGTACCTCTTTCTTAGGTAGAGGGTTTCAATCTACTAAGAAAGCTTTGGAAGACCGGGAAGATTTCCTTTTTTTCGCCGGATTTGATTCGAGATTTGGTTTAAACACTGCGTTTTTCTTGTTTGTTTGAAGATTGAGTTGGATTCTTAACCTAGTTTTTGACTTCTCAAGCCGCCGCCGTCTATCTTCTCAGCACGCGTTCTTGAGATTTCAGAAATTTGTGTACGAAGTGAAGAGCAGAGGTGCAGAGGATGGAATACGCTCTTGATAAAGCTTTGAAAGAGATGTCACTGGAGGATGACAAACCAATCATCCTGAAGAACCACCCTAAGTTCAGTTCCTGTGAGAGGAATGGCTGTAGTATCATTGGCAAGTTGTTATGTCCGGAGAATCAAAAGCTGTCGAGTTTGATTCATGAGATGCCACGGTTGTGGCGAGTTAATAACCGAGCAAGGGGAATTGCATTACCTAATGATAAGTTTCAGTTTATCTTTGACTCGGAGAATGATCTCTCCATGGTTCTAGAGGCTGGAGCGTGGACTTTCAACGACTGGAGCATGACCTTGGAGAGATGGGTCGAAAACCCTCCGGCTGATTACCTGAAGGTGTTACCGATTTGGATACGATTGAGGAACATTCCGGTGAACTTCAACACTGCAGACACAGCCCGTGAGATTGCAGAGCATATTGGACAAGTAACTCATGTGGCTTTTGACCCTCTTAAACCACAAAGCAGAGGTTTTGTGAGAGTACGAATTCTTTTTGACGTGTCTAAACCGCTGAAGAACAGTAGAGAATTACAGTTACCAACAGGAGAAGTGGTAGACATTGGTATTGAGTATGAGAGAATTCGAAGAAGATGTTATCATTGTAAAAGGCTCACGCATGACAAGGAGAGATGTCCACTGAACCCAAGTCACCGGCAAGGAATTGCTACGGGTGGGTCTCAGGCTGTGACAATCATACCAAGCCGTCTAATTCCAAAAATAAGTAAGGATGATCCTCTGTTTGGAGTTTTGACAGATGATGATGTGGGCATAGATCCTGTCTCCGGCAAACCAAAGATTGCAAAGGATGTTTTGGATGAAATGAGACAGTATTTATCAGTTATTGATCCGCAAGAGAAGAAAGTAAGAGTTGAAAGAGTTAGACGTTCTGTGTGGAATCTAGAAGGTGATCAACAGGGCCAGAAAACATTGTTGCGGTTGGAAGCTCCACCGATTTTCACCACTGATTTGAATAAAGGAAAAGGATTGGTCTTTGATTTTGAAAAATCAAATTCAGTTTCAGGACAGAGACAACAACTAATGGTGTCGAATTCTTCTCCAGGCAAGGCAATGAATAGATTATCTCAGCCGCTGCAGTCCATATCAGATTCTTACGTCTCAGCCACTCAACATGATTTTGGTGCTACGGTATTTAAGCCTAGCTTTTCAGCTGGCTCTTCCGGGACCAAATCTAGAGAGGTTAAAAAGCGAAGACGACCAAATAAATGGAGGAGAAAAGCGAATGCTGTTAAGGAAGGTACTGGAACAAGTCAGACATCTCCAATAAAAGATGTAGAGGAAAGTGTTTTATCTAAACGTAAAGCTGCTGATGAAGCTATTGAATCATCAAAACTCGCCAAGCGCGTTGAAGAAAAGGTGGCTCCGAATGAGGAGCTGCCAAAGCAGATATGAGCTTTATGAGCTGGAATTGTCAAGGGTTGGGGGGCACCTTGACAATTCCTACTTTGAAGGGAATGCGTCGTGAACATTTCCCGGATTTCATGTTCCTCATGGAGACTAAAAACTCCATTTCTCACGTGTTGAAAGTTCAGAAGTGGATGGGATATGATCACTCACATATCGTCGATCCGGTGGGTTTGAGTGGCGGTCTTGCGCTGTTTTGGAAGGCATCATATGAGGTAGAAGTGATCAATTCGGATCATAGAATCATTGACGTAAAGGTCAAGTTAGGCTCTCTGTCCTTTTTCATTTCATGTGTCTATGGCGATCCTGTTTGTCAATTACGGCAAATAGTCTGGGACAGAATGATAGATATTGGAATCAACAGAGACGAGCCGTGGTTTGTTATAGGAGATCTTAACGAGATCATTAACAACTCAGAAAAATTAGGTGGACCAGCACGGGCGGAATCATCTTTCGTTCCCTTTCGGAATATGATAAATGATTGCCGTCTACGGGAGGTTCCATCTATTGGGAATAGTTTTTCTTGGGCAGGAGAACGTAATAAAATGTGGATCCAATGTCGATTGGACAGAGCTTTGGGTAATGAGGCCTGGTTTCATCTATTTCCGCGGGTTCAAGCTGAATATTTGGAACGCATTGGTTCCGATCATCGGCCCTTGTTGACACGTTTTGTAAATGAGAATATGTCACGAACTGGTAGATTCATTTTCAACAAACGTTGGTCTGCAAAACCAGAATTTGCCGGAATAGTAAGAGAAGGGTGGAATAAGGGAATCATGACAGGTCAAGTGTCGCTTATGCATCGAATTGCAGATTGTCGAAGAGCAATCTCGGTGTGGAAGAGGAATTCAAACCAAAACTCTAAAGACAGAATCACTAGTATACGTGAACGTCTTGAAGCAGAAGGTACAAAGGTCAATCCTTGTTTAACTCACATGAAACGTTTGCGATGGGACTTAGCAGAAGCATATAGAGAAGAGGAGCTGTTTTGGAAACAGAAAAGTCGTGAACAGTGGTTGAAAGAAGGAGACCGCAACACAAGGTTTTTTCATGGTAGCGTTCAGCGCCGTCGTGTACAAAACCGTATTTTCTCTCTTCTTGATTTGCATGGTACAGAACAATTTTCTGAAGGGTCTAAAGGCGAGATTGCGGTGGAATATTTTCGAGCCATGTTTACTAGCTCAAATCCGGTCTCTGTCTCAGAAGCTTTGGAAGGAATGTTACCACGAGTCACTACTCACATGAACACTGAGCTCACCCGTCCTGTCACGAGTGACGAAATTCGCAGAGCAGCTTTTAGTATAAAGGGAGACAGTACCCCGGGAGCGGATGGTATGTCGGGTCATTTTTATCAAAAACATTGGGATATTGTTGGATCACAAGTGGTAAGAGAGATTCAACAGTTTTTTGAATCTGGTTTCCTTCCTCCGGAATGGAATTTTACACAGATTTGTCTACTCCCAAAGAAACCTAATCCCCGGAAAATGACGGACTTACGACCTATTAGTCTATGTTCAGTGGTATACAAGATCGTTTCTAAGGTTCTTTGCAACAGATTAAAACAGTTTCTCCCGACGATTGTCTCGGATACACAGGGAGCATTTGTGTCTGGACGGCTTATTTCGGATAACATTCTTCTTGCTCACGAGATGGTTCATGCCTTAAGAACCAACCCGAACTGCGATGAAGACTTCATGGCAATCAAAACGGATATGTCCAAGGCTTACGATAGGGTGGAATGGAATTTCTTGGAAGAATTATTGATTCGCTTGGGTTTTGATATTAAGTGGGTACAATGGATCATGAGTTGTGTACGTTCAGTCTCCTACTCGGTGTTGGTTAATGGTTCCTCTTACGGTTTTATTAAGCCGGAAAGAGGAATCCGACAGGGAGACCCGCTTTCACCATTCCTTTTCATTCTTTGCGCTGAGGCTTTAGTTCATATTATGAATAAAGCAGAGAGAGAAGGACGGCTAACGGGTTTGCGGCTTACACCAAACTGTCCTTCCATCCAACACTTATTATTCGCAGATGACAGTCTTTTTTTGTGCCAAGCCAGCCTCCGGGAAGCGTCGGAACTACTTCAGTGTTTACATTTGTACGGGAAGGCATCGGGTCAGGAAATAAATTTCCAGAAATCATCAATCACCTTTGGTCGAAAATTAGATCCTTATATGAAGAGGGTGTTTGGTCTCTTCACGGGAATTGAACAAGAAGGTGGAGCCGGAAAATACTTAGGACTGCCGGAGTGCTTTAGTGGCTCTAAGAGTGAACTCCTCAGTTTTATTACGGATCGACTTAAATCAAGATTGAGTGGTTGGTATGAGAAGACATTATCATTGGGTGGCAAAGAGGTGCTTCTCAAATCGGTCGCTATGGCGCTACCGGTTTATGCAATGACATGTTTTCGTCTCACAAAACATCAATGCCAAAAAATCACAAGTGCTATGGCTCAGTTTTGGTGGAATGAAACTGAAGGTAGAGATAAGATGCACTGGGTAGCATGGGAAAAGATGTGTAAGTCCAAAGCAAAAGGCGGTTTAGGCTTTAGAGACATTGGACGTTTTAATCAAGCTCTCTTAGCAAAACAAGCTTGGAGATTACTTGATGTTCCTAACTCGCTGGTAGCAAGGGTCTACAAAGCCAAATACTTTGCTACGAAAACATTTCTAGAAGCAAAGATTGGTTATAGACCATCTTATGCGTGGAGAAGCATTATGTTTGGAAGAGAGCTGCTTAAGAGAGGTCTAATGAAGTCGATTGGTGACGGTAAGGACACTAGTGTTTGGGCTGATAAATGGATTGTAGATGACTATCCAAGGAGGCCGATCAATAAACAGTTGATGATGGATTTGAATTTGAAAGTGGCTGCGCTAATTACAACGCAAGGTGATTGGGATGTTCAGCTCTTAAACGAATATTTTCCTCCTTGCGATGTCACACAGATAAGATCTTTCCCGCCGGCGATGAGGCTAAAGGACAGGTTAGTTTGGGCCTATACTAAGAATGGTGCATACTCGGTCAAAAGTGGCAATTGGGTTTTGAACCGTGAAGCTGAGGCTATGGATATAGTGACACCAACTATACAAGAACTAAATAAGCTTAAGGAGAAGGTCTGGAAACTACAAACTGCACCAAAGATTAAAATGTTCTTTTGGCGGGCTTTATCAGGTGCTATTGCGGTTGCTGAGTGTTTGCGGAATCATGGACTTCAAACCAATCCACTCTGTCAAATTTGTAACCTCGAAGATGAGACAGTGTCTCATGTGCTTTTTAAATGCTCGTTTGCTTCTCAGGTTTGGAATTTTTCAGGTCTCCCACTCCCAGCTCTCGGCTGGTCTGAGTCAATTGCTGAAAATATTAGCTACCTATTAAGTGTCATAGACAAGGTGGAGGTACCATCGCACCTACGCATAGCAATTCCTTGGTTGGTCTGGGAAACTTGGAAAGCACGGAATTCATCCCTATATGCAGCAAAGTTAAATGATCCTCACATCTTAATTGCCACAGCTTTGGAGGAATCAGAGGAATGGACTATGCAGAATCAAGTCATTGCTAATGAAACCAGAGAAGAGACAAGAAGTTATTCAACCAGAATGATGCGGTGGAGTAAGCCAAAGCCGGGCAGCCTTAAATGTAACATACACACTTCCTGGATCAAAGACACCTTTCACTGTGGTGGAGCATGGATTTTACGGGATCATAATGGCAACGTTCTTTTTCACGCCCGTGATGCTTTCTTACCAATGATGAATAGAATTGCAGCGGAGCTTCATTGCGTCTTGTGGTGTCTAAGGAGTCTCCACGATCTTCACTTTGATTCTTGTGAATTGTGGTCTGATTGCAGCGCGGCAATTGCAGCAATTGGGAAGCCGTCGGATTGGCCAAAATACCGTTCTCAGCTCGATAAAATATCGCAAGCGCTACAGGTGATGCGGGAGGTGCGGTTTAACCTCTCTTCACCGAAAGCCAATGTTTTGGCTAGGGCGATCGCTTGCAGTGTGACCAAGGAGGGACGGTTTACATCGTATCTTGCTCTAGGAGGTCCTGCGTGGCTACAGGAGAGGATAGCACGGGAGAGTTCAATGGGTTCGTGATTGAGTACTTTTGATTTCATGGTGCTCTGTTTTTTCTTATTCATGCTCTGTTTTTTATTGTTTCTCTATTTCTTCAAACTCATTTTTAATATCAATGCTTTGCGACAAAAAAAAAACTTAATTGACAATATTATTAAGAAAATCACACAAATTACTAGAAACGATTGACAATATAATAAATAAAGATAATGGTAAAATAGGAAAAAAAAACCAAGATTTTTGAAGAGCAAAGAGTTTCAAACAATTCTTGAAATCGGTAAAAAGAAAACAAGAAACATTTAATTCACATTTCAAAAAACATTTGTTTGCAGATCTTCTAGCTCTGGATCAACAACTTTCTCTCCGTTTTCAGCTTCGCCAGAAAATATCGGAGTCTCTAGCTCCGGAGCATTCTACAGATCAAAACAAACTCATAAAAGGATTGTTTTTCTTCTTTCGCAAGTAAAACATAAACTATTTCTTCTATACCAAGTAAAGAGAATGTATGAAGTTACCGTGCATCGAATAAGAGCCCAATTTATGCCTTTGAAGAAAGAATGTTTCTTGACTTCGTTTGCTCCTTCAAAACAGCCTAATCTTTTCTTCGGATCTCGTTGTAAGAGCCTAAAGATCAGCTGTTTCACTTGAAGACTTGCCTGCATACCAATAACAAAACAATTCAATATGATCTTCCATTTATTTGCGAGTAGTTGATATAAAATATAGTAATTGATTCATTACAGGAATGCTAGCTGGAAACTTGAGATCTTTCTGAAGAACATTGGTGAAAGTCTTCTGTCTTGTTTTTCCTCTAAACGGAGTGTATCCGTATAACATTTCATACATAAGGATACCAAGAGCCCACCAGTCCACTGCACTCGTATGTCCTGCCCCGGATATAATTTCCTATCCATATGAGACATCAATTACCAGTTAAGAGAGTGGTGAATATCTTAACCGGTATAATTAAGCTAGTAGTATATATAATACACTAACCGGAGCAATATATTCTTCAGTGCCAACAAATGAGTTTGATGCACGCATTGGTTCAGCCATGAAGATTGGAGTTTGTTGACTCTTTTGTTGTTTTTTCTTCTTCTTCTCATCTATACTCGGAATCAACAGCTGCGAGATTCATTCATCTCCCTTAATTAGTATACATGAGCAAACTCTCTAGCAGAAGTCTTTGGGAAGAATTGTAAGAGAAGAAGGTTTAGAGAAATTAAACCTGAGGTTTGCAAGATGTCAAGCAAGACAGATCAAAATCCGATAAGGAGATATCGCCATTGCCTTGGATTAACACGTTTTCCGGTTTCAAGTCTCGGTAAATTATTCCTGAGGTTAAGAAAAATTACAAAGATTAACTTACTATCATGTCAAGATTCATTTGCATCCGAAATTTTCTATGTAAGAGGAAGTCGAACAGCTTGCCTTGACAGTGAAGATACTCGAGTGCAACGACAACTTGAGCAGCATAGAATCTGAAAATCCATTCAGGTACTGTGTAAGTTCAAGATTTAAGTGAAAAAATCTTGAGACTTTTTCGATTGAGGAACAATTGTACCTTACAGCATCTTCCTTGAGAACTTTCCTAGGTTGTCGATCTAGGAGCATGAAGAGTTCTCCTCCTGGATAGTAATCTGTTATAAGACATATATGTGTTTTTGTCTGCAGAGTAAAACATGATACATTAGTAACCTAAGACCGAGAGACACGCATATACACACATGTATTCAAAAAATTTGACCTGAAATGAAGCGTAGAGTGCAGGAAGGAAAGGATGGTCAAGCAAATCGAGGATCTCTCTCTCAGCTCTAGCTCTATGCACCTGCAAAAATTTATATCAGTGGCTACATAACTTAGAAATAAGAAGCGAAACTAAAGATTTCTTGATGTGCAAGTTACTGTAGTTACTTTGTTTCGGTTGAGCATGACAGCCTTGTCCATTGCTTTCATTGCAAACAACTGATCAGTTCCAACGAGTTCCACTAGATGCACACTAATAAAACATAAATAGGACATTTATAAGTTTGATGACAAAAACCTTTTTTGTAAACTGTTTCATTAGATCAGAGTTTCAGACCTTCCTGTATCACCGGAACCCAAAGGCTTCACCGGTTTGAAATGCTTCAAACCAATTGGTTCACCACTTTCCAATACCTTTTGGATAGCTATCCATGGTGGTGAATCTTTCCTATGAGGCTTACAATGAACAATCTTTGAGTGGTTTGCCCATAAATCCTCTGGTGTCTTCAAACAATATACAACAAAACATTTGGTCAGATAATTCTCATAAAGTCTAATCTTAAATTCTCATATTTTGTTCCTCTGTCTATCATTTACCATGTTGGCATCAGGAAGTTCTCGAACCGCTTCATCGATATTTACAGCTGTTTTCTTCACCTAAAGAGTTCAGATTTAGGAAATGATCAGGATTTCTTGAGTTTCGATCAAATAATTACAATGAAATAGATATGTAAATAGATTAGGGTTCCAAACCAGCTCTTCCCCCTCTTTCACTGCGGTTTCTTCAATGACATTGCGAACTGGCTCTACGTGCTTGCTTCCGTCTAGTTGAACTCCAATAAAGTATTGTACTTCTCCCTATCAACAATATATCAAAGAAAATACACATCTTCAGTTTTAAATTCATAAACCAAAAGAAACTGAGGATTAATTTGAAGGTGCCTTATTACGCAAGATATCTATGTAAAACCATTGTACCTTTTGATCACGCATAGGTTGCAAGTGGAAAATGTTCCAAAACTTCTTTCCTGAAATAGAGAAAACAAAGTATAATTTGAAAACTCTATACATTGGTCGATATATTAATCTAAAGATATCGAAAATTGAGTACCGCTCTTAGTGTAGTTGATGAGCTGAACCGTCACTTCAGTTTGGTTATCAATAGCATTTCGAATCTTCTTCACCGTGGTCAGATCAGTCTCTGGACCTTGCAGAAACCTAAAACCATGAAACAAAAAAAAAGAAAGATTAAAGACATGCTCTATTCTCAAAAACTTTTCGAAAGAAAATCACATTTATGTAATACCTGCAATTTCTGCCAAGAATTTCTTCACGGCTATATTCCGTGAGCTCCAAGAAACTATCAGATGCAAAAATCTAGAAACAGAGGACAAAGTAAACAATTCGTTTTCAGACCAATCAAAATGAAAAATTTCCATTTATCTCAAACAATTGTTCTTACAATGGGATTATCGGGAAGTCTAGGATCAGTGATGACAAAATTCTTCTCGATACGTTCGAGTGTAGTAGCGAGATCAATACCCTTTCTCATTTCCTTTTGTCTCACTTTATCATCCACACTCTCTGGTCTCTCGTCTCTGTCACTTATTTCATCATCTTCTTCTCCATATTCTATAAATCCATCGTCTATAGATTCATCCAAAGATTCACTCTTTTTCTTAATCCTATCACCAGAGTTCACAATAGCCTTAGCAAGGACTAAATTGATCTTTATAAAAGTTATAGGTAAAAGAATAATATGTTAAGAATTAGAGGTGAACCAAGATTTTTGAATTATTACCCCATGAAGGAAAGAGAAGATTTTCTCGATTTCTTCTCGGGAATTTCGTTGATTCGCTGCATCGAGTTTCTTCTCCCGCCGCCAGAGTTTCTTCGGCCTGACGGAACAACATTTTCGGACATTCGCCGAGCAGGTTTTTTCGGAAGTTCATCGCTCTCCGATTTTGTCATGAAGGGATGGAGATTCGTCGATTCGCTTAGTGCTCGAGGTCTCTTCACCGCCTCCACTAGCTCAGTCACTGAGTTCGTAGCTATATCTTTTTGGCGGGCTGTTACAAAACAAAATTTAAAATTTGTTTTAATAAACATTAGAAAAAAAACATACAAAATAACAGAAAAAACAGATATAAAAAAACTGTAATTACCATCATATCGAATCAGAGATTCCGGAAGCCCATTGGGCCTCAAACTCTTTTCTTTGGCCCCTTCAGTGTGCTTGCTCACCTCCACTTGCATTCTGGTCCAAATAAAAACAAACAAAACATATTTGTTTTTGATTTGTGGTCAAACAAAACATATTTGTATCAGATTCTACAATTCAACTTTTATTTTTTCTTAAGTGATTATTCTCTTTTGTTATTCTACAAAATTTTCATAATTCACGTGAGAAAATATATAATAAAAATTGAAATGAAAAAATAACGGCTGTTGGATTGGATCGAAGACAATCAGATTTATCAATGACAACTCTTTGAATTTTATTGTGGAGAAAGCAACACAAATCACAGGTCCACACTTCAGCTCCATCAAAAAGGGTGTAATCTTGAAAACGAATAAATAAAGAAGTGAAAAGAGTAAATAAAAAGGAAAAAGGAACTAACCCAATAAATTTGAGAACTTTGCCACTCTCGTCTTTAATGGGAGCAATCGTGAGAAGATTCCAAAAAGAGGTCCCATCTTTCTTGTAATTCAATAAACGTCCACAATAATTGTTACCAGCAGCTAATGTCTCTCTTATCTTCGCTAACTCATCAGCATCTGTCCCTGATCCTTGTAAAAATCGGCTACAATAAAACAAAACACAAAAAAGAAAACCAAAAATTATGTTATTTTCTTCTTCTTTTTTTGTAAACAAAATTCATATTCATTAAACTAAAAATGGTGGGAAATTTTGTTTATGAAGAGTAAGATGTTTCAAATTTGCAAAGTAAGATGTCTGATTTTAAAGATAAGTATCACTGAAAAAAGAAACTTAGTTTATAAAATGCTATTAGTCTGGAAAAGTTCTAAAGACAACATAAAAGTTAGGTTTATAAAAGGTTTTTAGAAAATTAGTAAGAGTTACTAATTAAATACTCGTTTCTATACTTTTAGTAACCATACCTAAAACTTTGTAATTTTGGCACACCTCATAGTTTGGAAAAGTTCTAAAAACAACATAAAAGTTAGGTTTATGGTTTTTTTTTGTAGAAATTTAGAAAGAGTTACTTATTCATCTAAGAAAAATATTTCTATACTTAATCATACCTAAAACAAAACCTATAATATTTAAGAAGAAAAACTTTGTAATTTTGGTAGTAATTATAGAAACGAAACGTAGTTTTTTATTTATAAAAAATATTGCTCTATATTTTGATTTTGAAGAAATATTTACCAGTTTCTGCCGACGACCTCTTTGGAAGTGTAACCGGTCATATTGAAGAAACCAGCACTTGCGTACATAATCGGGTAATCAGGTTTGGTAGCATCAGAAACCACAAACGTTTGTTGAAACGTCGACAACGCATCTTTCAGATCTTCCGATACTCTTGGAATCCCTCCTCTCCCTCCGACGACATCTCCGTCGGACATCTCGCCGGAGCTCCGGCAAGAATTCTGCGAGTTTCTCTGCGATGTAGTCTTTTTCCCGTTCGGATCATTCTCAGTCCCACCAGAGTTCCTCACGCTCACTCCTTGTGGCTTTCCCGTCTTTGTATCCGTCTTCAAAACCAATCCCCATTCCGCCGCTCTCTGCTCAGCCGCCACCGCCGACTTCTGTGGTTTCTCGGAGGTGATCGTCTTCTTGGAGATTTTCTCCGGTGATGGGTCTTTCAGAGCCATCCATGAGGTTGTGACAGTGATTTCTTGATCAGACCGAACAGGGTTGGATGGAGCTGGTTCTTGTTCTGGTCGGGGTTGAGGACTGGTGCCACGTGGATTGTTCAAGTTTTGCCTCGTTGGTGGTTCAGGACGGTACACCGGGTTATCGGGTTGGGCCGGATGAGTTGACGGGTTGAATACTTCGAGAGAGCCACGAGTGTCTCTAGGTAGAGTCCGAGCAGACGGTTTGGTCGATGGTTTCTCTGTTGGTTCCATCTTTGAGCTCTCTCTTTACACGAAATAAAAATTGTGGCCAAAAATAAGTTTATATATAATTAGTTAAATGGATAGACATAGACACCACACGCATGTGTATATGAATCGGCAAATAAAAATATTATTTTCATAAAGTTAGATACTAAATTTAAAAAAAAAAAAAAAAAAAAAAAGTTAGATACTAAATATATATATGCTACAATATTTTATTGATTTCTAAAAATGGACACATGACCAAGTTCTTTTGTGGTAGATGGATGGTTTGATTACTGAAAATGAAAACCCTATACAAATATGTGATGTGTATATGTTTTGTCATAAAGAGAAATGTAATGGAGAGAGAAAGTTGATTAAAATTTGCAAAATTAGTACGATATATGGAAATGGGCGTATTACTTATGAATATTTGTTTTTGGTCAATAATTGAAATTGAGAAATGATATAACTTCTCCAAATATAGTATGGTACGTATTCGAGTTAACCTTTTTCGTAAAATTAAAACCATAAAGAAAAGCGATTTAAAATAACTAATTTGCATTAAATATTGATTTATAAGATACTTCACAGAATATATCTACAGTTTTTTTTAACAGAAATATAATATTCTACCTAATTTTAATAGATGCTGACCATAAATAATTCATCAATCACTCATATTTTGTTTGAATCTTGAAAACTGTTATCATGGATAACAAGAATCTTGCTCTCTTTGGTGTCTTTCTTTTGGGAAATAATAGACTAGACATATCTAACATGATAATGAAATAATGAAGACATAACTATATATGTATGTATATGCATGCAGGTTACATGCATGTTGTTGTTAAATATGGTTCAAAGAGTTATGGTTTATGGGCCATAGATAAATGAAGATATGAACTGGAAATACGCCAATATTGAGAGTGACAATTCCAAATGAAGCGGGGGGTAAAATTGAGAAAACGACACAAAGTTGTAAAGTTTTCAATACTTTTTTGAGTAATCAGTACCACACAACACATGCATCTTCTAAGGGTGTTTTAGTCATTTTGGTATGAAAATGGACAGTTTTATTACAAAAACAGTAGCTGAGCCGATCGATCACAGATTTCAACTAAAATCTTTGTCTTTTTTTCATGTTCTTGTCATATTATTGATTTCCACATAAATGAAGCTTTTTAAAATAGTTTATCACTCTATCTGTATGTCAAAAATAAAAAGAGTAAAATTTTACATGGTAAATTGGAAAATCTATTTATATATCAGTTGAAATATATATATGTTTATGAATAGGAGAATTTTATAATCAAATTCAGTTGAGTTCTTGAAATATGCAACTAACATGTGACGTGTGACTTTCACAAAAAAAAAAGCTGACATTCAAATAGTTTATTTTTATTCCGTGTATGCAATGCAACAATATTACACTAATCTAAGATCAAACTACAGACGATATAAAATGATATATACTTCATTAGTTATAGTTCTACACAATTTAACCGAGGGCCAAAAATGTGACAAGAACCCTAAAAAGATGAACAGACAAATAAAAAACATTTTATCTTCCTAAAAACCCTAAGAAAGTGAGGCAAATCAGTAGGAATCGAAGGGAGAAAACTACCTTGCAAGTTAACTTGTGTAGGAAGAAACAGATTATCCTACGTTCTTGCTTTCACTCTCTCGTCGAGATAAACTGAGGAATGAGTTTGGAATGAGAAGTTAACTTTCCCGAGCCTTTTATACAAATAAGGGAATTTTTTGATAAGAAGAGATTCATGAAAGATTAAAAAAATATTTAGGTTTCATGATTGATTTAGTTTCTTTCTAGCTAGCTCCATCACTGGATTATTTGATCTTCCCATGCGGCATGCCTCGTATGTTTTTGATTCCACATGGCTTTCTTTTGTTTATTTTCAAAAGGTCATATAGAAACGAAACATTAGTCTCGTTTATCTATCTTCTGTATAAAATTATCTTGATAATTAATTAGATTATAAATCTGAGTTTGTTAAGTATTCAATTTCTAGTATATGGTGCTTATATTTGGAAAGAGATTTATTACTTTATCCGTGATTAAAAAATGTTGGTTTGATTGTGATTAATCTAGGTTTTGGTATAGGATTAAACTAAATTATAAAAGAGAATATTGCACAGAAAAACTTGATTGTTGAGCGAATAATTGAAGTAAATAATAAATAAAACATTTGAAGAACACACAAGTGTGTGGAGTGATGGTTGTTCTTTTAAAAGTTTCTGTGTGTGTCAGTGACTATAAGTGGGAGTGAGTTGTCATTTGAAAACGCCAAAACCGTTCCCAAATGCAAATGCAAATGCAGAAACCTTATATTATTAACAAAGGAGATCTATTTCCACTTTGGTAATGGTAGAAATTATAGTATTTATGCAATGCAAGATATTTTATGCGGAAACATAAAAAAAGAACATATACTGTTATCCGAGTCTGTGAAGAAATTGGTTTGGAATTAGTCAAAAATCGAACATGAAGTTCGGTACAGAAATCACTAGTTAATTAAAAATCAATCACTTGTCATTGTTTATATGCATTTTTTTGGTTGATTTGTCAAAACTTTTTTTCCTTTTCAAAACGTTTTTATTATATCTCATATTTTCCAAAAAAATACTATAATTATTAATTAACAGATAACTTCCATCAACAATACTATATTAAGAAACAAAAGAAATTACAAGAATAGATAGCACTTGTTAATCAAATCATGGGCACTTACCGAACCTTAAACAACCAGATATTTTTGATCTTTTGCATTTTGTAATCTTAACATGTTAACTAGTTCAACGATGTGACAAATAGTGAATAGCAATGATATAGCCATTTGGTGGTGGGTTTTTTGCAGTCAGGGGTTGAGGATACTCATCCACTGGCGTTCCTGGTACAACTGTGCCATGGCTTTATATCAAGGGACTGGTTAATCCGGGTTACGCATGTGTATAGGGAGGCTAATCGGTTAGCGGACGGATTAGCAAACTATGCTTTCTCTTTACCGTTGGGTTTTCAGCATTTAGATGTTTGTCCGGAAGATGTTGCTCCGGTTTTGTTAGACGATGTTAATGGGGTCACACGCCCAAGACTTGTTCGTGTGTAATTTGCTTTAGTTTTTGAATAAATCATAGGAGGTATTGCCTCCTATTCCTTACCCAAAAAAATGACATAGCCATTTGGGAAATAAAAGGTCATACGTCTCAGATTAAATAATTAGATATTTTTAATTGCATGTAAATATTGAAAACAATTATTAGCATAATTTGCAAATTTTGGTCTTATTGACCCCACTACACTCAGATTCAATAACATTTTTTTTCTCTTTAAAGTTATATTATGACCTCGGTAACAAGAAAAAATGGATCTGCCACTACAGACTGGTCATCCCAATCGATCACGATCAGGCTTGGTTAAAAATATCAGACCAGTTTAGATTCAAACCCTTTTGTCCGAAACACTGTGGACAAAAGTATGTGAAGGATATAAAACAAAGAGAAAGAGTATGGTAACATTTCATATACAAGTAGGACCAGAACCCATGTGAAGATTGATCAAAGAGAAAAAAGATCTTAACGAGTTATAATCTTATCCATCATGTGTCCATTGTGGGTTTGAGTGTGTGGTGGGGGCTGAAAATGTTACATCAATCTTCACATCTTGGCCGCTTAATTTCTCCCATTTTACTAAATTGACTGATTTTTTTTCCCTAGATAAATTCAAGATTCAAGATGGGATAATGATAATGATAATACAAGCAGGAATTCGAATATCTTAGTAATTTAGCATAATTTTTATTTTTATTATTGATCCATGTAGATCTGCCATGTGGTGTTTTCGAGACCTCACTGATGTTCAAATCACTATTTTGAACCACATGATTTCACTGAAACCAAAAAAAAAATCAGAATATAAATAAAGAAAAAGTGGTATCGTGATGCTATAAGTCTAAAGAAAGAGATCCACGGCGAATTCTTTTATTTTCAGTGACTAGCTAGTTTCCGCCTAATGATAAAAAAGAAAGATGTATGTTCTTTGAAATTGAGAGAGATATATATTAGAAAAGCAAAGTCTCAAGAGAATGTTCAAAATCGGATCTCTCATTATCTCATACTTCATAAATATATGAAGTTTCTCATGTGTGAACTCCAATACATAAATTAACGTCGAGTGAACTACCTCTTGAAGTAAGATATGCGTGCTAGATCTACAAAGCTTGTATGATAGAGATGATTATGAAATGCGTAAGGAGAGATGAGAGCACATAAAAGAGACGACACAAGAGCTTTGTTAACGGGGTTCGGATAACCTACATCCCCGGGACCAAGTCCAGAATCATTCACTAGAATAAGAATGCAAAAATCACATTTGCTAATGGTATCTAACACACACTTGTGTCTACCACTCTTATCTAGATGAATCAAAGAAACCACCACTCATTGTCTTTTCCGACGAGTGTGGTTCTTCTACAAAAGCCACTAACAAATCTATCTATTTGTCTAGTGGGACAACACCACACACAACATGTGTGCTTCTCTCAATTTTAGATCTAAGGTGTGTAACCTTTTTCTTGTTACAACCTCTTCCTTTTATACCTCTTAGAGTTCACCAAAACCCTAGGTTCCACAAGCTCTTCCTTTTATCTTTTGGGTAATAGCTTGTGCTCTTTTGTCAACTTGACCCAATCCTCTGTTCTGTCACAGACAAGCCTTTACAGTCGCTCCACTGTTTGCTGCAACTTGAAGCTTTTCCGCTCTGTTGCACTTCACAACAACTACAAGTTGTCTGCTCTGTTTTCTACTCTGTTGCGCTTCAAGTTTACTGAGCTGTTTATGGAAGACTTGTCCTTACGAGCTCAAAGCACATTTGGCTCTTTTCTCACTTCTTGGATCTTCTTTAAAAGGTTCCAAAGTTCAGCACGTCACTTCATTCCATGTGACTTCACATTGGACTGTCTCAGCTGTCTCAGATACTCTAGTTGAAGGATCACTGCATCTGCGTCTAGCACAGAGATAACTGCAACTGTGTCTGCATC